TATACACCGAGTCTCGTTTCTTTTGAGTCACACCTCGTATAAGATGTTTTACGAGTATGTAAAGTTTCATTAAAAGCGGTGAGTTACACTCCTTGTTAATTTTAACGAAATGCTACCATTCGTCTTGTTCGATTTAAAATTATCGGTGGCATCTATTATCCCGGCATCCATAATTTCGACAGCTAAAATCCTGACAATCCAAAACAATGTACAATCCCGACTACTATAATCCCGAGCACTCGTATCATGCGCCATAAATGGAGTTGTAGCGAGCAGCGTTGATTTTTCCTCGCTATAAAGCCGATGTTTCTTCTCTTGAGTTTTCTCCCGTGCTTGTGGGAGTTTTCCCCCGTGCTTGTGGGAGTTTTCCCCCGTGCTCAAGAGGGAACAGAAAGTTCATTCGAAAAAGCGATCTCAACTCGTACGAACACCTTCGATTTTCTAACAACGCGCATTTCGATACAGTCAATAAAGTTCTCGTTATTGTTAAATAATCTATCATTTATTCACCCTTCACCCCAGAGTTTTAAAAGACGAATATATTTATCAAATGTAGTTAACAGGTAATGTTAGGTTAGGTTAGGTCAGTTTTATATATTTTTCGATTCAGCGTGTATACTGGTCAATTGCACCACAGGCGGAATTTTAAATAGTAATTATATTCGCCAAACTATTGCGCCAAGTTTAGTGTGTGGTGTATGGTGGGTGGTGGCTGAGAGGTTGCTTCCAGCAACGTTCTTCTAAATTTTTCTATGGTCTACTTAGGAGATCCTGCTTAAACTAGGTTATTGATTGTTTTGCGCTAATTTCTCCTATACTTAGACGCATATAAAAACCTTTATAAATTTCAATTCTTAATACGTGAAATACATGAAACGATAGCTTAAAGTACGTTTTAATTTATAATGAATTAATATTTTATCATTCTAATTGTTAAATATTTATTTTATAATAATTGTGTTTTTGGAGTAGATTTTCCATCCTTTGCTAACTACTATTCGCACCATTGATTGGGAATCTACTGTTAAACAAAGCACGTAAGACAATTGATTTAAACACTATTATTTTTTCGCGGTCAGCAACTTATGGTTGTTTAGCAATGTTACCAATAAATTGTATCCGTAGTCTGGACACCATTATAAGCACATACAGCCACGGCGATCCTCTTGACCTACCCTCATGCGTGTGCGGCGATGATGATCCATCGTTATAGAAGTTACATGTGAACCCCTCTTTCCGCTGGCAATTGTAGTTATTTAAAACCAAATCATGTTTTCAATCGAAGAGTATAGTTTTAACCAACGAATAAATTTTTATTGTTTTTCGAGGATGTAGACTCGCTTTACGAATTTGCGCTCACAACGGACATGACAAATTATTTAAATATTTTTAATTTAAAGCTGCAAAAAACAGACTTTTGAAGAATACGGCACAAATTGCAATTTTAAAAGGTATTTAAATATCATTAATTCTTTAATAAGTCAATTCCTTACGCGTTTTAATGATTTCAAAACTCTAAGAAATGACTATATTCTTTTCGAAAATCCTGTCACTGTTCTAATCGAAAAACAAAATTTAGAATTTCAGGCAGAACTTTGTGATTTGCAAAATGATATTTCGTTATAAGCATGATTAGAAAAAGGGGCTGAGTTTTTTTTCGACATATTTATGCTAATACTTCGTTATCATCATTGATGCGAACAAATTCTTCTCATCCTTCCCATCACCGCGCTCGCCGCTAAGTATTCGACCACAGCCGTCTAAGCGGAAAGCATAGCAAAATCGGCGTCGCGCTCAGCGTGTTAATGACGTTAGATTAAGGTAGGTTAAGTTAGATTACGTTAGGTTAAGTTAGGTCATGTTCTGATATGTGTATTTCACTTTTGTATTAGTGTTTCCTAACAATTGATATGATCAATTATATAAGCAATTCAAACATTAAAATACGAATATGTATCTCACAAACCGTAAGAGACCCGTTGATTTTGAAAAAAGATATAGAAAAAATGTATATACACACAAAATTTTAGCACTGAACTCGATAGGGGTCATTCGGAAGTATATCCAAAGATGTTTATAGACGTAAATATAGTATTAATAACTTTAATAATCTTTAAAAATAAAAATTATTAACAGTGCAAGGAAATTTTTAATCACAGATGAATTTAAACAAATCTATTGTAGTACATTCCTGACACACAACGTCAGACGCGCGATCGGCAGCTCGGCCGTTGAGTCTAGAGCAGGAGTGAGGGTATAATAGGCGAACCAGAAATCGACCCAAAATGTGCAAGTAATACCGAGCACTGGTTTACAATATGCAAGTAAGCCGTGCTTATACAGTAGCACGGGCCAGTAGGTAGTCGAATTTTTGCGTTTCTTGCTTTGCCTGTACGAGGCGTTTCTTATTTTGCCTGAATCTCCTCAGTTGTATAAAAAAGGGCAGGTCAAATGACGACGCAGAGCCTGGTGGAAGGAAGGCAAGAAAGGAAAGAAACCATTTTCCTTTTTCTTCAACAGATCTGTTACAGGCAAGTAAAAACCGCAAAAATTCAATTACTTACTGGCCTGTGCTATTAGCACGGCTTACTGGCAAAGTGTAAAGAGTTCCTTATATTGAACTGAACAATTAAGTAACCGAAAGGAAGTAAATGGGAGGTCTGAGGGCAGGTTGCTTCAATGAACAAAGCGAGTTGTTTGTATGTTTATAGTTTAATATAAAAGTAATTAAGATCAAAGTACGACATCTGTATTCTGAATTACACGTTTCGATAGTTATGTATTTAGAAAGCAGATTATCCCTCTGATTTCGATGATATTTAAATAAATTGTAGAAATCAACATTTGGAACATGTATTTTTTATACATATAAAATGTCATGCAACTGGTGGTATAATTGGATAGTTCTTTAGCGGATGACGGTAGAATAATAAATGATGATCACCGAAATACTTATATGGGGAGTTTCTTTATTTAAGCTGACGGTTCGCGTGTTACAAATGTCTGACGTTCGGTGCGACGGGTCAGTAACGAATATACATGTATATTTCCGCATTTCCGTTGGATTATCTAGTTGGCTTTCTAGAAAAGGACAGCTAGCAAGCTTAAAAACACGCTAAAACTTTAAGAAAGGAAATGGGAATTCCCTGAATTGGGAATCCCCGGCATAAAGCCCTCCGGGAAAAACCCGGACCTTTTTAATGGTTATGAACCGCCGATGACCTGGGTCTTACAACCTACGTATATTTCTACATGTAGCGTTAAAGCCGCTACAGTTCTAAAAAACTTTTTTGTAAGCGTTAAACTATTTCACATATGTATCTAAACACATGATTTTTTGTAAAAAGTAAATGAACGTATTCGAGCGAAGGTACCACTTGATGGTATGAAACGATAAAGACTAGAATAAAATAAAGGAACATTTTCAGACCACTAAATTTCAAAATTATTATTGTGTTTCTCTTTACGATCATTTTCTTCGTCTTATTAAAAATCCCCCACATTTTAAAAACTTAACAGTCTCTGACACTAATTGGTGATTCTAAACTCGTGTAACTGACCTTTTGCCTCTTCGTAACAGTATTCATAAATACAGTAGGAAAATATATCAATTATTTCGACCCGTTACTTGAATCTTTGCCCTTAAGATTTTGGAGTAAAAACTTCTATCAATTCATATCATCAGAAGCATAATGCACATTTTGTTATAAATGTTTACATTATTGTATCATATGTAAATCGTTTTTTGTTTAGATATTTATTCATTAATAATGTAGCGTGCAGCGTTGATTTTTTCGCCGCTACAAAGTCGATGTTTCGGGGCCTGGGAAATGTCCAGGTACCGGAGACAATAAAACTTTCGCCGACCAGATGATGTTCCGTTGTCGTGTGTTTACGGGATTTCTCCTCTTGAGTTTTTCCCCGTGCTTGCGGGGGTAGGCTCAAGAGGCAACGAAAAAGGTCATTCGAATTACCGACTTCGACTCGAACAGTCACTTTTCGATCATCGAACACCACGCGCATTACGATCAATAAAGTTCTCGTTATTGTTAATCGGACTACGATTCATTCACTCTTCACCTCAATAATTACGTTTAATTACACAAATTTTGTTTATACTTGTTTGCATGTGTATTTGCTGGAAATAGGTTTGCATAATTAGGATAGGTTTTGTACTTACAATAGTATATCTGCAGTCTACTCCACAAGAACGTGGACGCGATATCTGAATGCAAGTATATTTGCATTATGTATTATGTATATTTTTCATAAAAAAGATTGTATAGGTCGAAAATACTGTTAAGGAACTAATACGCACTTGCTTAATAATGTGCTCAATCACCACCATTAGCGATTATTCCTGTACAACATCTGGGCATACTTTTAACCAGCTTTGCAGCGTATAAGGCAGGAAAAGATCTGCATATTTCTTGAATACGGCGAACTAGCGCCTTCAATTTTAAAATACGCTTTCGGAGTTTGTTTACCATGACAAACCAAACATTTTCGATTGGATTGGCATCGGGGGGCTCAAATGGTCAATCCAATACGCTGACACCATTCGCTGTTTTTTATTCCGTACAAAGGCAGCTTCGGTGTTTGAAGTCGCTGTCCTCTTGAAGTATCTAATGATCTCTGGTTCTTTTAAAGCAATGTTTCACCGATGTTAAGAGACGCAAAGATGCATAAAGTTCCGAAACTCCGAAGCATAAAGTTCCGTAGCTCGCTTCGAACTTCATTCATGATTTTGAAATCATCAACACAATTTGTCTCTTTCTAACGTTGAACCCCCTTATTTATAAATTCGCAAGACTCATATAGATATATTGCTGCATTTCTAATACCCAGTTTTGACTGGGTATTAGAATTATTAGTTTTGCTGGTACGAGAATACTGCTTCGCATCGTGTGGCGTATGAGGCCTCATCTTGAAATAACTTGAATTTCTCAGTCAGTGACAGAAACGATACTAAAAGAATTGGAGGGCTATTACGTATTAGAAAAGATATTGTATGTTTGAACTGACGCAATCTTTGTTGCATTGGTTATCAAATTTTACAAATATCACGCTCATGCTTTTGTGGAACAGACGTGTACACAAATTTGATTTGCTAAGAAAGTACAAAGTACGAGTGATGGTGGGGACACTCCCGACCAACATTGTTTTATAACAATGGATTGGTATAAGCAAAATGCAGTATCATAAAAGCCGCTATAATACGTACGAGGATTCGATTGAAACGAGCGGATACAATCAAAAGGATGTCAACATTAAGTTTCCCGTTTAACTGTATTATTCTGTTAGTTTGTTTTCAAGAAATTTTATCGATACCCAACATCTCTAGCAGTTCATCAAATAACGAGGGTATCGAGATTGTCAACGGATGTGCATGTGTCCAAAAGCTACCGAAACTGAATTGTCCCAATCAGAATCATCACTCGACATCTCGTGATACTTCCTTAGGCGAAAATTATTATTTCACACCTGGAATCGGCGCGCACAAACTGCACACCAGAGCACGAACTTGGAACGATGCACGAAAAGTTTGCATTGATGAAGGTGGGCATTTGGCAATCATCAATTCTGATGCAGAAGAGCGTGTAAGTTTACGTATATCTTTGGAAATATTCAGAGGATTTTTACATACATTCCACAATCATGTAAAAGGGCAATTACAGAAGATTTTCGTGTTTCAACCAGCGTATTAGTATTTGAGAGATGCTGCGCACTAAATTGAAGTTTCTTATAATACAAGGTATGTCCTGAAATAATGTCAGTGACTTTATTGTGACGCGACTTCACGTCGGACCGCGATTATTTAGGTTAAACAGATCTCCGCTGCTGAAGGTGCTCCGAGCATCCGGAGAGTGAGGACGAGCCTATCCGTGAGAATTGTTTTGCGTCACTGTACAAGTTAAAATGCAGCGCTCGTTAGAACAAAGTGTTACGATCAAATTTTGCGTGAAAGTGGGAAAGACCGCGACGGGAACGGTTGCTCTGATCAAATCAGTTTGTAAAGAAAATACCCTGTCAGATCGGCAAGTGAAAACACCCATAAAAGGCAAGCATTTCAGGACAGTAGACGGAATCAAAAGAGCTTGCACGGCGGCATTGACGGAAATTCTGGAGGAGGCCTACCATAATGCATTCGAGAGCTGGAAGACTCGCTGGAGTAGATGTATTGACGCAGGAGGAGCCTATTTTGAAGATTTTTAATCATTTGTAACGAGCAGTTTAATAAACGATTTTTAATCGACATACTGACATTACTTTCAGGATATACTATGTAGGTAACCGAGCTTAAACTATTTCAGAAATTCAATATTTCTTTTTATTATAATACTATAAATATCACATTAGCAAATGTCATTTCCAATATTATAGTACATTATTAATATTACATTAACATTATAAAGAATAATTTATAGTATTTATATTTCATTTGAATGTATCTGAAAGTTTACGATCAATTTATAACGTATACAACAGCATTACTCAACAAGTAAAGCATTAAATTGAATACTAAAACGTAAAGATATGTTAAGAAAATTAAAACCTAGCCTTATAAAAAATATTAGAATAATAAAATAAAAATAGTTCAATCTAACAAGTATTTGTCTCTGCATTAATTTGAATTATTCTTTGTTCTGCAAATATTAGCTTTCTGAAATTGACTATAAATTGATCATAAAGTCACTATTAGTTGACTATAAAAGAATTTAAATTAACTTAAAAAATTGATTACTTATAATAATTAATAATAATTGTACTTTATTTTTGTTATCTTGTTTTTGGTATTCTTCTTAACTTTTTTTCTTCTAATTCGGTATTAAAGATTCTCGTTAACCTCTTAAAATTTCTAATTCTCAGTATTCTTATATTGCCAATATCAGTGAAGGTGTAAAGAATGATATCACATACTGTCGGCACTCAAATTACATTTTTTAATGATGACATTTATAAATTTTAGCATTTAGAAATTTTTTAAACTTCAAATTTTCAAATTTACAAATCTTACATTTAGCAAATTTTCAAACTTAGAAACACAAAATTTTTCCAATTATTGGATTTATAAACTTTGAAAATTAAGCAATTACGAGTTACTATTCAAACACTAACACACAACATACAAAACTTAGAAACCTAGAAATTCAGTAATTTTCAAATTTGCAGTATTTAAAATTTATAAACTTTAAAAAATTGAAAATTATTCAAACACTAACACAAAACATAAAAAATTTAGAAACTTAAAAATTCAATAATTTTCAAATTTGCAATATTTAAAATTTAGAAACTTTAAGAAATTGAAAATTGTTTAATTTGTAGACACCAATATTTACAGTACTTCGAAAATAAAAATATAGTATTCTAAATTTCCAAACTCTAAAATTTATAAACTTCCGAATTGTTATATTTTCAGACCATAAATGTTATGTAAAATGAGACAAACATTATGATACACAAGAAGTATATTTCTCAAGATTTTCAGTTGTTCAATGTTTTTGAAATAGTATTAAATGCTTGTATTATCATGATGATGAAGCCAAGGTCAATTCAATGACCTAAAACACTGCGATCCTCACATCACCTTAAACATGAGACATTCAGAATTGATAAATCAAATAATTTGCATTTCGGATTGCCGTTAATCAACATGTTAACAGGAAACAGTATCTAGAGCAGGAAACATGAAATTAAATCATTTATATATTATACATTAGCTGTTATAGGGCAACAATGAAGGCACAGAAAATAAAGTTATTTTTAGTTTGTTGTCGATATTGTGCAGAATTCAGTCTAAGGAAATTGCAAATAAGAATGAATACGTTTAATAATTTCATTAATGTGTTGTGGATATTAGGAGAATATTAACGAATGCTAAACCTTATAAATATCTAGAAAGATTAACGAAATTGCATGTAGCATCAAGCGTTTAAAGTTTACAGAAATATATACGACTGTCAAATTACCAAATCTAAAAAGAACGCATTGGGCAAGATGTGGTAATGATGCTCCTGTTTTGATAGCAGTTACTAAAAATCAGTAATTGTAGCTACTTTATTATCGGTGTACATTATCCAGCAACTACAAATTCTTTGTGTTCAAGGTCATGTGAAAATTCTGCTGTTATAAATCATTAGACTATTTTTAACAAACATTTATTTACCGTAATGTTTGTGTCACTACATAAAGCAATTTATACTTTTGACATTTCTGCATACCATTGCCAATAATAGACATGCCGCCTTGTTTGATAAAGATATACATACATTTTGTAATGAATTTCACAATATAGGTGCACCAGTCTGTCGATCTTACCTTGACTGAATAACAGTAACAAACCGGATTACAAAATAGTCAAAACCTCATTCACATCAGATAAATGTTTCGTGTGTCTTGAAATGATTTACCTCCGCCCTTATTTAAATAATGAATTCGTATCTACTGTAATAGATCCACTGATAATACAATTTCAATCGTATTATTCAAAAGGGAAAGACGTGTTTTGTTTTTATGTCCCGTCAAACTCGAATTTATTACGTAACTAATAATCTATATTTCCGCTTTTTGTTCTGTCCAAGGTACATAATTAGCAATCACAAAATCGCACCCGTTGAAGAAATGATCTATAATGATTCCAATTAAAATTACATCGATAATGTCGCTGGCATTCGATCCCACCCTAATTCTTTCTTCCCCTTTTTCCAGGCATTATTGGATATATTCAAACGAACGGGTCCGATAAAGGGTTCCTGGGTCAACGACGAAGCCTTTTTAGGTATACACGATCTGTTCGCAGAGGGCGATTGGACAACGGTATTCGGTGATTCGCTAGCAAAAGCTGGCTTCACCACATGGAGTAATAAGTGGAGTGGACAGCCAGATAATTGGAATAACACACAACATTGTGGAGCAATTTTAAAGGAAGGCGGAATGGACGATGTAACCTGCAATCAACCGCACGCATTCTTCTGCGAATTGCCTAACATATTGTTTTTGAATCAGGATATCTCATAAGTAATGACATTTTCTCAAAAATTTTTCAAATAAAATCAAATACATACAATATTCTCTCGAGAAGTGTGAGAACCTCGGGTCCAGAGTTTCACATTTATAGAATAAGTACTACATTCTTTGTAATGAGTGAACGTAGAAAAGAATAACGACACAAAAAACAAAAGAAGACTGAAGTTCGACACGTTCGACAAACATGAAAGATTTGTGCGAGTTCTGCCTTTTCAATTTAAAAATCAAAATTTTCTGTTTTTAATTTTTTGTGAAATAAACTTGTACCATCGTATTAGTCTCGTTTTTTTTTTGTTAATCAAATAATATTAAATATGATATAATTACGATCATAATTACTTATGTAACAAGCCAATAGGAGAAATTCGTATCTCTGCCGTAAATATAAAATTTGTCGTAAGTGTGAAAGTATGGTTTGCTACTCAAGTGATTATGATCGTAACTACGATCGTAATTATATCGTGTTTCATGTCATTTTAATTAGCAAAATGAAACGAATACAATAATGAAAGTTTCATTGACAAAAAATCAAATATAAGAAATTTTAATTTTTCATTTAGAGATTTGAGCTCCACTTGTCTTTCATCTTTTCCGAACGCTTCAACCTTCTACTACTCTTCTACATTAAAAGCTTCAATCACCAGTTAGGGATCGTTTAATTTATACCAGTAAGCCGTGCTAGTAGCACACACTAGTATGTAATTCGAATTTTTGCACTTTTTGCTTTGTCTGTACCAGGTCTAGTGTTGGAAAAGGAAAATGATTTCTTTCCTTTCTTATCTTCCTTCCACCAGGTCCTGCGTTGCCACTTGATCCGCCCTCTTTTAACACAAATGTAAAGATTCAAAGTAAGAAACGCTCAGTACAAGCAAAGTAAGAAATGCGAAAATTTATGGATCACTGACACGGCTTATTGACATAGTGCAAACATGGCCTTACGCAATCACAGTCTCACAGTATGATTTACGAATGTGCATGCGTATTTCAAAAAACACAAGATTAAGTCTATTAGTTGTAAACCACCTGAGAACTGAATATATAATAAAATCGTTGTGTTAAATAAGGTAAAATAAATTATTTTATATAATATTTGTTACGCGCACGATCAAAGTTACCGAAAATTATCAAGATTTCGTACGCGTGACTCTACGGCTTTTTACGGCGGTAGAGATGTTTGGTTGTTAATGATGGTACACTGTTAACTTTTAAATAACGGTTTAATATCCAAAGCACTTAAACTAAATAACAAAAATGTCTGTGTTGTAATGTGTTACCGGATTCGTGAATGTTCAAGTGAAACTGTTAAAATTGTAAAATTCGTAAATGTAAAATGCTCTAAGAATAACTGTTGACTGTTTTGAACGTTCTGTATTGTACGAACGAGTTTTCAAAACAGTTTTTTACTGTAAGGACGATTTTCTGAGAGATCTATTCTGTGTGATAGAATATTTGAGAGATCTGTACTGTTCGAAAGAATGTTTGAGAGTGTTCCTTCAGGACTTGTCTCGAAGAAGGAAAACAGTGAAAAGTAGAAAATTGGGGAAACTGTTCTGATTGGTTTTAGTGTTTGCCAATAGTATTGCTTAAAAAAGGACACCACCCTACCCCGTGCGCCCTTAGCGCGATCCGTGCAGAGTACGGTGGGCCTTGTGGGAATGTAAAAAGAAAGCGGACGTAAGACAGAATTTCTGTTGGGTTGTCAACAAGGGGACCTGGTTTATGTCTCCTAGGCCCTGCCCTCGGACCCTCAGGAAATTCACGTTTATGGCATTGGCAATTAGCTGTTGAGACCGTCGAGAGAACTTGAACATAGAAATCGTAAATTTAAAAAATACAAAAAGACTCTCAAAAACAGCTCTGGTACTTGCATGCCATGAACATGCTAGCAACGTGCAGGTCAAATGTTAGTCCCGTGTACAAATTGCTAACTGCCTTCGTGAAAAACAAAGTCATAAATCTAAAATTTGTAAAGATACTGTAGGAAACGCGAATTCAAATATGTACCGTGAAACAATATTAAAATCAGTCTCATTTGAGAACTCTTGACTACAACATATGTATATGCTCGATGCTCCATTATTCTTATTTAGTTTTCCATTCTCTCGTCTTCGCTTCTTTCCACTCTAGAGATTTTTCAGTTTAACTTCTCATATACATAATTGTTAGCAGTTGCGATTTTTTATTGCAGATCTGTAACAAAATAAGTACCAGAAATACGAAATTATCTGGCTGCAAATGAAAAAAGATGTCTTATTGAGTATGTCTGTATTGTATAATATAATATATTTGTATTATACATATTTATTTTGTAGTCTTTACGTATGGTGAAAACTTGAAGTAAAAACTTTAAAAACTGATGACTTGAGTTTAAGCTAAAGAATTGGTATATGCGAACATTGTGTTCCATTTGAAATTCTACACGAAATGTTGTATTCTGCAGGGATTCAGGTTTATTGTATTTAATAAAATTTGATCCTAATCGGAATTTTAAGCAAGTTTTCATTTAGCGTGTACAATAAGCTCGATATTTTGTCATGTGGTACAGACATTCGACAGTTCACTGAACAAAAATAAAAATCCAGCTGGTTTTTAGAAAGTGTAGGGATATACAGGGTGTCTCACAATTAGCGTAGATCTCTGGAATGGGAGGGTTCTAAGTAAGATTTCCCTTTACAAAAATAGGGTTTGAAGCTTCGTTTTTGAGTTATTAACGAAAAACACGGACCAATCAGAGCGCCGGGATTATGCACGCCGAGAAGCGGGAGCGAAAGTTTCGAACCTGTCGCCGGAGTAAAAGCGCGATCAACTGAGTTTTCCTCGCAACTGTCTTAATGTCTAATAAGAAGTCTTTACATCGAAACTTAGTTAAATAACGAACAGAATAATTAAAAGTAATGTTCATTTATTCATTCCTCATGAAGGAGGAACGGAATTAGTTATGTGTAATTGACATAAAGCATGCAAATGGAACGTATTGAATACTGCAATTCGTTATCGACAAGGAATGTGACATTAAATATCGAAAATTTTTTGTTTTATTTCCGACAGTAATATTGGCCAACGAATTTACGCATTTTAAACGAAATACTTATTCTTTTCGTGAAAAAAAGAGTTTCAATGTGATATCTAACAAATGTATTAAACTCTCTACTAATTTACATGCAATTTATTAAAATAAGACTCGCCCATTCCTTGAAAATAATCCTGTTTGTTAATAATCCGTCAGTGAAAGTTATGGGGTCCTTGCCGCTGGGTCGTCCTGCCGATGTTGACCTGCCGCAAACATTAGTACCTTATAACACAGCTGGTGGCACTCACAGGTCAATGCACTGTCTTCACTTCAAAACACTCTTGTTTTCACTTTCACTTTCTGGAGAATCCCTGGTAAAAGGTATTGTCTCTTTCGATGCCTCCGAGGGTGTCCGAAAGGGGCCGATTATTTTAACCGTTTGAGTGCGGCACAAATTTTGTAAGCATATGCCAAAATGTGGATAAGTTTAGGTATATATAAAAAAAAGTATTAATAAAAGTAGATAACTTATTTTTACTTGTAAACCGATAAATCATATGCTTCACTTGTGCAACCAGCTTAAATTCACACCAAACTGAGAAAAAAAAGTAGGAGCGCAGTCTCTCTCTTTGCAATTTTAACATCAAACAAGAGAAGCGCAATAGCGCTCCCCGCATTTTTGGCATATAAACAGAGGAGCGCTTTCGCGCTCCTCCGCATTTAAACGATTAATGTTATCCTGGACTGCTCGTGTGACTAATAATAAGTAGCCCCAAAAGGGGCCGATTTTGTGGTTGTGATATTTTTTGGCTCTGGAAGGGGCCGGTTGTGTTAATTTGAGATTGTATGGTTCCGAAAGGAGCCGATTATGTTAAGTTGAGATTGTATGGCTCCGGAAGGAGCCAATTATGTAACGATTGTTTGGAATGTTGTTCCGGGCTGTTCTTCGTATGATCCAATAAATGGCCCCGAAAGGGCTTCCGAAAGTTACACCAGGAGTGGCTCAATATAGGGCCACCCCTTGTTGAAACACACATCCGCAATCTCTTTATAATATGGTCCTGTACCCGCCGCAGTAAGTCGAGTGTGATTTTGGCAACCGCGCCGTGGATGCGGGCGACCACCTCCTCCGGCGTGGTTACGTCATTACAGTACACCTCATTCTGCAACAATTAAAATAAAGTGCAAATTGTTAATTTTTTAATTGTTATCAGTCGTTAATTGTGAATAGTTATCATACCTTCAAAAATCCCCAGAAAAAGAAGTCGAGCGGATTCAAATCCGGGGATCTTCAGGGACACGTAACTGGGCCTCCGCGGCCAATCCACCTGTCTTGGAAGGCTTCGTATATGTTCGGAAGAATATTGGAGGGAGTTGGAATCGGTAAGGACGGAGTTCAAAAATGACGTACAGGGCAAAGTTGAGGATGATGTAGGGCTGAGTGTTCACAATATGAATCGAAGTTAAGGATGAGGTCATCGGAAGGATTGAGTAGTTGGATAAGATATTTATATTTGTGTATTCTGGTATACAACAAAAACTATTGCCCAAACTACAGCTAGTATCAAAAATGTTTTAAATAAAATCTACCTAGTTTTGGATAACACATACATGGACCACTGTTTCCTTATGTCGCTAAACAAATTCTAGATTTTTTTGGCGGATGCTATACACTGATTATATTTAAATTCTACTTCGAGTTTCAGATTCGTCACAGCTTAAGAACGTCAGATTTTAATTTGAATTTATGAACGTGTCGCGAATTTTGTTTCTGAACTATGTGGTACATACATGAATGTATAATAAAGTAATTTTATATTTCTTTCCTTCCATTCCTTTGGGAAAAAGGGAGAAGAAAACAATAGAAAAGTGAACCTTAACGGAATATACATATATATTCCAAAACTCTTACATTTCTAAATTGACACATTCTCAACACCCACGCTTCCGCATCCCCAAATATTCCCAAATTCCAACATAGTCGAATTCTGAAGCCCCTAAACATCTAAAACTTAGGAAATTCCTACGGTTCGAAATCTGAAAATCCCCGGAAGCGTAGTACAGTGTCAAGTAGTTGGTCCTCTATCTCGCGGTGCAGTTTCCCCAGGGATTGGTACGGTGGTCAGTAATGTACGTAACAATTGTCGAGATCGGCCAATATTGAACCAATCGATTCTTTCGTCGGGAACGAGCACGGATGCAGCGGTTCTTTGTGCGTCAGTTTTTCACGTCGACCGGAAATATCGACGAGACAAAACGCGGTAGAAGATCGAACGCGTTGATAGCGTGGAATCGTGCAAAATTCACGG